ATATCAAATACTAACGCCTATAGTCTTCAGGAGGTGTAAAAATTCAAGCTTCTATGACAAAGCATATAAAAGCAAATATTAAATAGCCAGGTCTCATAACTCAAGTAAAGAAAAAGTCCGAAAATTGTAATTTTTGTAGTTACAGCATGTAAAACAAAGTTTTCTTTCGGATTTAAACTTACATTTGCTGTTGGTTTGTTTACCTTTGTCAGGTTTTATTAGAAGTTTTTGATATTTATCCGATATTATTTAAAAGGGTATTTTTTTTACCATGCTGCAGCTATATTAGTAGTTGTAGCACGAATGGGTCGGCTCGACTGGGGAAGGACCACGCTCTCACAGAATACCAGCGTAAAATAGCAGCTTAACGCTGCTGTATTTCGTATGGTGAGTGTATAGAACCGAAGACCCTTTTTACTGGAAACGGGGCATTCCATCTTAGTCCTCACGGGTGAGACGCATCTGCATTTTGATTCTTAATCTAAGATAGAGGTAGATGTCTATGGGCCACAGCAACCACTTACCATCAGGTGGACTGTGTGCTCGTTTGTCACCCTTATCCTATAAAAAAAACAACAAATCGCACGTTTAGATGATATTTTTGTATATGTTCGTTAAAGTTAACTTTTTCGTCTCGCATATCTTGAGAAGACATGACGATATCGTCCTCAAACCAATGTCTTTTCACGCTTTACTGCTCAATGAAATGTGATTACGTTTTCATTTAAATCGATTTTGTAATGTATTTTTTTAAACGTAAATATTGAACTTACAATTGACTAACAAATGGAAAGTTGACATTGAGGCAGGCCTACGTGCACCCTCAGCCGCCTTTTCATTTAGTAATTGCTTGAAACGTCAAATGAAATAAAATAACATTCAAAAGTCGTGGAAATTCTTCTACTAAGGTATTATTTATTTATTCCTACAAGTTCTTTCACGATGTCTACGTTTAGATTTTTAATTCAATAAAGCGTTGTGTACACGTCGTATTTATTAAAATTTTACTTAAATTACAATAGTAAACCAATAATTTTATCTATCACAATAGGTGTAATTGTTCATTTCAATTATCTAGTTTTATTTGCAAAACATTTTCTGTGTAATGCCAAAATTTGAAGAGATTAACGGAATGAACAGCAGTATGCACATTTAAATGATTATTAACAAAAAAAATTTACAATTTAAGTTTTTAGTTTTAGGTTTTTCTTATGGCAATATTGTTTATTAGAATGTTATGAAAATAAATATTTGAGTGATTTGTAGCACTCTTGTACGCGGGTGGATATTCCGTAATATCCGCAGAATCCATAGATTTAGTATAATATTATATACTTACGTCAGATTGGCAGCGTAAAAGAGAAAGGGCATAGCATATGCTTACGTTAGAACGAGATAGAATGGCTAGACCATACACATACAGGATATAGGCCTCTAACGGGCTGACGTGAATCGTTAACAAAACAAATCCTGCTTATTTTCGCGATATCTTTGATTTTGAAAGTTTGAAGTTTGATTTTAAAGTGTTTAAAATGTGTGATTAAATATGGTAACCTGTGCAGTACCTGAATGCAGTTCATTGAGAAAAGAAAATCCACAAAATTATACATTCTTCACGTAAGTAGAATAAAAATATTAAAATAATTAGCACTCTAAGTGCAAAATTTTAGAACTGGTACAAATATTTTATACACAAATGGATAGCGAAAAATATCGCATTTTATTACGATAACGCTCTAAATGCGTAATAAGTATATTAAAAATAATAACAAATACGTAAATTCCCGCTATTTCTGATCTAATTTTTGTAGAGATTGACACTATCAATATTATTTTTAGCACGTGCTAGCAGCTGCAGCATGGTGCTAAACACGTGGTAGAGCCATGCTGCAGCTATATTATGGTTGTAGCACGAATGGGTCGGCTCGAACGGGGAAGGACCACGCTCTCACAGAAAACCAGCGTAAAATAGCAGCTTAACGCTGCTGTGATTCGTATGGTGAGTGTAGAGAACCGGAGACCCTTTTTACTGGCAAAGAGGCATTCCATCTTAGTCCTCACGGTGTCACCCGTCTGCATCTTGAGTCTTTATTGAGGATAGATGTAGATGTCTATGGGTCACAGTAACCACTTACCAAGTGGACTGTGTGCTCGTTTGTCACCCGATCCTATAAAAAAAATTATCTTATCGATAGTATGTTTCCAACAGGCAATGTCATATATTTGGATGCAGTCTCTTGTAACTTCGTTTTTTTTAATTTTTAATTTTTAGGGTTTTGTAACCAAATGACATTAAAGTAAATACAGAAATTCGGTTGTCTTGCTAGGCGATTACGCTCTATTGAAGAATTACAGACCGACTTCCCTTCTGAGCTCAGTCTACATAGTGTTTACGAGAGTCATTACGCCCTGCACGTAGACTTGATGACTTCCAGCCTCTCGTACAAGCCGGTTTCCCAAAATCCTTTAGTACCATATACCACATACCCTTCGTCAAATTGTACAGAAAACCGAAGAGTACAATCTGCCAAATTGTCTTGCGTATGTGGACTATGAAAAAATTTTAAGTTCCGTTGATTCTTCCGAAAGTTGACCATCAATAAATTCATGCGTTTGTACATTAGAGATACGATGGCAATCGAATAGAGAACCAGAGTACGAAACCTATATAACTGCAGAGTGGTGTAAGACAGGCGTTGACAATATATCTACGAAATCACTACTGACTATTAACGTTATAAAATATAATGCTAAGTTATATCGCCGAAACTCTTAACTGCAGATTTAGAAGATGTTTTCAAACTACTGGATTGTAAAATAGGTATACTGTATTAACATCAATGGCGAGTACATCACTCAACTTGTATTAGCCGACGGTACAGTTCTTATCGGTGGCGGTGTAAGAATATCAGTTTCCTCATATTGTCATGATAAGCAACAGAGGGAAACAAACCAGAAGATGGAATGGCAATAAAAAAAAGTTACCGTTGCCAACCCTCTTGCCAATTAGTGCAATTATGGCAAATATCCATAAATGTGGCATAGGAAATTATTCTGCGTCCATACAATTTTCGCCTAAGAACCAACAGTGAAAAAAATACCTGTTTAAGTCCGAAATTACAGATAATTGTACATACATACATACATAAACACCTGTCACCCAGAGGGGTAGGCAGATATTACAGACTTCCATTTGGCGCGATCCTGACACACCTCTCTCGTCTCCTTTACATCCATATATCTACGCATACACGCTCGTCAGTTAAGGGTACTCCTAATCTGGCCCATTTTTAATGTATCGCCGATTTGGTCGATAAACCTTCGGGCGTCCCTTCCCGACCCTTTTTTTTTTTTTTTTTTTGCGGATGGAAAATCATCAAATGACGCCTTTCGCTCTGGGTGGAGCGGAAGGGAGTGTCAGACTTTTACTGACTAAAAACCATCCGTGTTCCTTCAGTGCCCTTACGTTCCGGAGGCGCGGTATCTCTTTCGAACGGCCCGCAGCCCCGGCAGGCGTCGGCCCTTGCGGGCCCCTTCACGCTGCTGACAGCTCTTTGAGGCGCGCGTGGAACAAAACGCGCCGTCGACACGGCCTGTCGTCGTTAGACGGACGGACGGCGAGCTACCCATTGCTCGCCGTCCACAGGCCCGCGCCTACGGTGGCCGGGGGCCACGACGTAGCCCCCGACGCCCGGGGCGTCTCCCGCGGCGGCCGGGAAGGAAAGCTGCTGCTCTCTCCTTCTCCCGCTCCGCCACCTCCTTCGCTAGCATCACTGCTTCGCAGAAGGTGGTGACGGCATCCCATTCCGTCTCGCTCCGGACCATGGCTTCGACCAGGGTCGGACGCGAGAGGTCGCCGCCGCCTATCGCCGCTACGAGGACACGGCGGTGCTCCGCCCAGGCAGGGCACACCTCCACGGTGTGCTCCACCGTGTCCTCCGGTCGATCCTCGCAGTGGAAGCACCCGGGCGTTTCCTCCCGACCGATTCAGTGCAGGAACCTCCCGAACACACCGTGTCCGGTGAGGACCTGCGTCAGGCGGAAGGTGAGGACGCCGTGGCGTCTCTCAAGCCACTCCTCAAAGAGGGGTCTTATCGCCGCTATAGTGGCGTGCCCAGCACGGGGTTGCGACAGTCGCTCTCTCCATGTCGCCATGAGATCATGCCGGAAGTCTGTCCGCTGCACGACAACTTGCCGCGGCAGCGGGGTTTCCCCCCGGCATAGTGCCTCCGCGCGCCATTCGTGTAGGCGCGCGAGGACTCTCGCCTCCAGATCCCATGGCGGCAATCCGGCAAGGAGGCACGCTGACTCGCGGGAGATCGTGCGGTAGCCGCGAGCCATTCTTACGGCAACCACCTTTTGGGGCGCGTTCAGGTGGTGAACGGCAAGCCGCGCCAAACCACGCGCCCACACCGGGGCCCCGTAGAGGGCCATGGAACGCACAATCCCCGCGTAGAGCCTCCGGCAGGAGGCGTTTGGCCCCCCCAGGTTCGGCAGGAGCCGCCTGAAGGCAGCCCCGGTCCGTTCCAGTTTGGGAGCCAAACGTCGGAAGTGCTCAACGAAGTTCCATCGGCCGTCGAGGACGAGTCCTAGGTACTTCAACGTCGACTCGACGCCGATGGATACCCCTCCTACCATCGCTGAGGATTCCGGTGGTGGCCTGTTCCGAGGACCATGGAAGTGCATGGCCTCGGACTTGTGCAGAGCCACCTCAAGACCCAGCTGCCGGATCCTCTCAACGACTATCGCAACCCCGCGTGTCATATTTTCCTCCGCCGCCTCGTACGACCCCCCCTGTGCCAGTACCAGCGTGTCGTCAGCGTAGCAAACTACGCTGACGCCGGTAGGGAGGTCGGCGCGCAGCACCCAGTCGTAACCGATGTTCCACAGGGGCGGCCCCAGAACCGAACCTTGTGGGACACCGCACGACATCTCTCGCCGGTTCCACTCACCGTTGCGACCGGGGTAAATGACGGCCCTATCCGTCAGATAGTCCCCGACTATACGACGGAGATAGGTCGGCACCCGGTGATACCGGAGTGCCTCCCTAATGCAGCTCCAGGGCATGGAGTTGAAGGCGTTGGCGATGTCGAGAGACACCGCCAAAACAACCCCCCCCTGGCCACTGCATCCCCCGTCGTGAGGGCTCTCACGCGCATGGCGTCCACCGTAGAGCGCCTCTTGCGGAAACCAAACTGGTGTTCCGCAAGATCCGGCCCCGTCCCCGCAAGGTGCTCGGCGAGGCGGTTTGCAATGACTCTTTCAAAGAGCTTGCCCACCTCGTCGAGCAGTACCACGGGCCGGTATGCGGACGGAGAGTCCGCAGGGCGCCCCGGCTTCCGAATGAGGACCAGCTTCCCCGTCTTCCAACGAAGCGGGAATTGGCCTCTCTCCAAGCATGCGCTTAGGAGCCCCTCCAGTCGGGGCCCGAGAGCCTCCGAGGCCAGGACCCAGGCTTTGCCAGGCAAGCCGTCGGGTCCTGGGGCGGTATTCCTGGCCTTGAGCCTACGTACCGCCACTCTCAGGTCTACCCCGGTCCCTTCCGGGATGCCGTCGTCGTCGTCCTGGTGGTCCACTTCCGGCACCGCAGGTGGCGGAGCCATAGGCGGGGGCGGATGTTCCCCTCGCGCAGGAAACAGAGCGCTCACCACGTCCTCCACGAGCTGAGGCCGGAGACTCTGCGTCAGCGGGGGGGCCCAGGTGCGGAGTTTATCCCGCACCATCTTGTAAGGGCGCCCCCACGGATCTCTGTCGAGAGTCTCCAGCATCTCCTCACGGGCCCGATCCCGGGCCCGCATGATAGCCTCCCGGAGGGCGGTCTTCGCCGCTCTGTATCCCTCGTACAGCTCCGCCTCAATGGCTGCCGCATTCGGTGGACGAATGCGGAGCCTGCGATGCCTGGCGTACAGGTGCCGCGCGGCGACACACGCCTCGCGCAGAGACGTCAGCTCACGAGACCACCAATATACCTGACGCCGGGCGCTTCCTGGCCGGACGCGGGGCATTGCCACGTCACATATCTCGGACATGGCCTCCTGGAACCACCCTGCCTCATCATTGACGTCGGCAGGCCTATCCGGTGATGACACCCAGGCCTGCACGATCGAGGCTTCCAGGAGGAGCTCCCGGTCCAGCTGCTTCAGCGCCCAACGCGGACCACTCGGGGCCTGTTGGACTGGCGCGCTCGAGGGCTGGGTGGAGAAGTCAAACCGGATGTACCGGTGGTCGGAGTAGGTCTCCACCCCCTCCATGACTCGCCAGTCAATGGCACGCGGCGACAGAGCGGGGCTAGCGAACGAAATGTCCACCACCGACTCGCCCCGCATCCGCACACACGTGGGGACAGAACCCCGATTTAGGACGACCAGGCCTGTCTCCAGAGCCCAGTCTTCCACCATCCTACCCCGCACATCTGTACGACGAGAACCCCAAGCCAAGTTCTTGGCATTGAAGTCCCCGAGGACAAGCACGGGGAGGGGATAGCTTCCGACGACGACTGCTCTCAGCTCTGCAAGAGAGTTGTGGAGCTCGGCGAGAGATCGGTTCGGGGAGAAGTACACCCCCAGAAAGACAAACTCCCCGAACCGTGCTGCTACGCACCCCTGACCCCTCCTGACACCTTCAAGAGTCGGGGTACCGGCGGCGGCCGAAGAAATGATGGCCACTGAGCCGTTAAGGTCCGCCACCCAGTCCTTCCTAGGCCAGACAAAATACGGCTCAGCGACCACAGCGATGTTAATCGACCACTGCGCCATGCTCTGGAGCAACAGATCCTGAGCGCAGGCGCAGTGGTTGATATTCGCCTGGAGGAAGCTTAATGGGGCCGTCATAGGCATTCCATTTCAGCTTCCTCCACGGGGCGCCCCTCTGCAGGCGTCGGTGTCGCGGCGGCGGCGGCGGCGACAGTGACAGCGGCGGCGGCGGCAGTTGCAGCTGCGGCGGTGGCCATAGAGGCGGTGGCGGCGGAGGAGGGCCCTCTCCTACCCGCGGCCTTGGCCTTGGCGGGTGACACGCAGGCCCTGCTTCCGGCCCAGTGATCGGCTGGCTTGCCGGTCGCCGCACATGCATCACAGTGCGGCGTAGCGCAGCAGGTCGCCGATATGTGTCCGGGCTGACAGCAGCGGAAGCAGAGGCCACTGCGGTCAACCTCCGAGGCGCATTTCACTGACACGTGATGCCCCACGAGACAGCGGTAGCACCTCAGAGGTCTGGGCTCCAGCAGCTTAACCTGCGCTGAGACCCAGCCCACCAGAAGCCTTCGGCCCTCCACTATGGTTTTGGCCGCCGTAACAGGGCAGCACACCAAGGCGGCATGCATACCCTGTTGATCCGGGCGTATGGCGCCTGACCTGACCTGGTCAGTAGTGCACCCCCCGGACCTGGCGACGGCGGCCACCAACTCCTCCTCCGATACCGAGTCGTCCAGACCCATGATGCGCAGGTCTGCGCATCTGACGGGCCTGGACACTCGGGCCTCATCCGCGTTCAGGGACGCTCTGAGCTTCGCAGCCAGAGCGTCCGCAGTCGCGCCACTGGATTCCCCGGGGATCTCCAGCATATGGGCCCCCGTCTGGGTGACTTTGAGGCCCCCAGTGATCCCGAGCTCCCCGAGATCCACCGCCTCTTTCGCCTTCGCGAGCAGATCGCGGTAGGTAACGCCCTTCTTTTCCGCGTCCGGCTGTAGTGTAATCACTACAGCTGCGGTCTTCGGGGCGCGGAGCCTAGCCGCGATCTTGCGCGCCCTGAACTGGTGCTGCTGCTCCTGCTCTTTGGCCTTTTTGGCTGCCTTCTTCCCCTTCTGTTTGTCCCCGACCACCTGCCAACCGGCTTCTGCCGCGGGAGGTGTAGGGAGCTGGGGGGGCGGTGGCGGCGGCGGCAGCTGGCTTGCCGCTGGCGCTGGCCCATTCGCCGCAGGCACTGGGGCTGGCGCAGCCATCACCTGTGCTGCCGCCTTGCCCTTTTTCGCCTTCGCCTTGCCTCTCTTTCCCGTCGCCGACTTAGCCGGAGCCGGTTCAGCCGGTTTCGGTTTTGCTGGAGCCGGCTTTTCAGGGGGGGGGAGGGGCAACTGCAGCCCCACCCGAGGGCTGGCTGGACGGCCCCGGCCTGGATGCGGCAGCCGTGACCGTCGCGTAAGAAGCCGTTGCCGGCCTCGCCGCCGTCTTGTTTGCCCCTAGGGGGGGGCGCAGGACGATGCCCTCCAGCACGGAGAACCGGTGCTGGAAGGCAGCCAGCTCCTGCCGGACCAGGTTCAGAACCTGGTTCTCCACCGGCACGGGCTGGCTTGGGCGCTGCGTCTGGGGCGCCGCGCGAGAGGCAGGCTCATGTAGACTGGCCAGGTCTGCGCGGAGCTTCTCATTCTCCTTCTGGAGAGTCTCCATGGCGGACGTCAGGCGGGCCACTTCCGTCCGCAGCTTCGCCACCTCGTCCGCATTAGGCCCAGCCCCAGCAAAGTTGGCCTCCGCAGCCGCCATGTTGGAGGCGGAGGCCGCGGGAATGGCCTTGACTTTCGAGGAGGACTTTTGCTTGTTGGCCACGACCTTGATCGCGGCCTCCACCTCCTTTACGAATCTGGCCTTACGCTCTACCTCGGAGCCGCCAGTCGCGTCTGTTTCTTCGCCTGATTCCCGAACCGTGTCGTCCGGGTGGCGCCCCTCCTCGGCAAGCTTTGCCGCTCGTTCGGCCCTCTGAATGGTAGAGAGCTCCCTCCCCTTGCCTCTCAGCCCGCCCCGCCTGTTGGTGGGGATTTTCCGGGCCGAAACCTCCTCTTCACCGGATGCCGACCCCTGGTCGCCATCCCGCCTGGACCGCTTGCGGAAGAACTTGCTGGTCTCCGCGGTCCCAGGCTCCACTTGTCGGGAGCTCTCTGAGCCTCCCTCGCTGCTCGATGCGGCGTCGGACTCTGTCCCCGCATCGTTTCTCCTCTCCTCTACGTTGCCGTTGCCGGCGGTTTTGGTTTTTTGTGTTTTTTGTTTGGTTTCCATTTTTTGTACCCACGAGTATGGGGGAATTAAAAGTCCACCTTGGCAGAGACCCCTTACCAAGGTAAGCAGATTTAGAGGATTTATTACTCGCCAGGGGGTCTGCAGGTACCCTGGCGAGGAGCGCACTAACGACTGATTTGTTCATAGAACCCCGTCAGCCATCCATCCCCTCGCGGTGCGTCGCCGCTTGAGATTCGGGGTAACTTTTTATAGAGGTTTTCTCCCTCGCGGTCCGGGCGGTTAAGCCAAGACCCTCGGTCCCTATCAAAGCCGCGAGACGTGATCCACGACACTTCGATACTGGGATTACGAGACCGGCGGTGACAGCAAAGGATGAATCCTTCACTGTCTGCCCGGAGGCAGGGTAAGTGCACACCGAGCCCGCCCTCACTCCTCTGCTATGCCCTCTGCTGATCAGAGGGTCACGCAGTGGAACGCACCGTTGATCCGGGACGGACCCCCCCCCCAAGTCAGAATAATTAGCCGCGGCAGTACCATTCCCCAAGGAGTAAGAATTTCTTCTCATTTCTCGAGGAAGACTACTGCTGCGCCCAGGGTGCACCGGCCTAGTATCTGCTCTTCCCTCCAGACGTATCGAGAGGGACCCGCAACTACCAGGCACACGTGGAGGACTTCTGACTTCGCACCCCCCCTTCCCGACCCTGCCGTTCACTTCTGCAACATAAATTTGCTTTGTCACTCTTTCCTCGTTCATTCTTTCTACATGACCAAACCACCGAAGCATTCCTTTCTTAATCCTTGTCACAACGTCTTCTTGCAAACCACACTTTTATCTTATCACACTATTTCTCAACCTGTCATTCAGATTCAGCCCTAGCATACTCCTTAAGGACCGCATTTCTATAGCATTTATTCTACTTTCATGCTTCTTCTGCCAGACCCAACTTTCACTACCATACATTAAAGTAGGGTAACACTAAGACAGCATTTTGAATTGCCATACGTGCCTTATTTGACACATTCTGACTCCTCATAATAGCGTGTAGAGCCCCATTCATTTCCTGCGTTCACTCGTCGTTCTATATCCTTATCATATCTACCATCCCTGCTAAATAAACATCCCAAATATACAAACTCATCCATTTGCTCAATCAACTCCCCTTCTATTCTTATTTCACATAAAGTTTTACTTTCTTCTCTTTCAAAAACCATTACTTTCGTCTTACTTGCGTTCACTTTCATACCCCTTTCTTTCAATGACCAATTCACTAAAGTAACCATCATTTGCAACTCGGCTACCGACGATGCAAGTATGACATGATCATCAGCGTACAAAAGGCATTTGACGGTTGACTCACCCATTCTCAACCCACATTCTTCAACTTTCAAAGTTTGCAAACAACTGTCCATAAATAGGTAAAACAGCCACGGGAAAGCTACACATCCCTGTCTGACACCTTTATGAATGCCAAACCAGTCCGAGTAGACTCCTTTGATCCTGACACAAGCACTAGAGTCCCTATAAAGAGACCTTAATGCCTATATCAAGCCAGCGCTCAATCCAAATGAGTTCAGTGTGCCATAACATATTCCTGCCCACTCTGTCATAAGCCTTTTCTAAGTCCATGAACGCACAAAAAACTTTCTGGTTTTTGGCCAAAAACTTCTCCGCTATCATGCGCATGGAAAATACTTGATCCGTACACCCCATCCCGTTTCTAAATCCAGCTTGCGCATCCCAAATTTTTCCATCAGTTTCTTCCATAACTCTTTCAATTAACACCTTAGCATACAGTTTACCCACAATGCTAAGCAAGCGGATACCACGGTAATTTTTACAGTCCTGCTGCGAGCCCTTTCCCTTATATATTGGGACTATAACGGCTTTGCACCAGTCTTCCGGTACCCGCTTCAGTTCTCAACATAAATTAAACAAGGTGCACAACAGGGCTGCAACCACACCCTCTCCAGCCCCTAGCATTTCGAGCGATATTCTATCATATCCGGCAGCCTTACTTGTTTTCATGCTTTTCATTGCTTTCATTATATCATCTCCCTACCTC